ACACATATATACACACACACATATATATACATGCGTATGCAATAAAAGAATTTCAACTGTAATTATCGACAAATTGACAAATGCATGTCATTGTCCTGAATTATTGATTTGTCCGTATAACAGAACAGTATGATGGCAATTTTCAGTATTCTTGTTAAACACTTCAATGAATTAAATGATGAATGGTTGAAAAAGTTTGAATCCGGAAATCTTGAAGATAATAACATAAGTAGATGAATGATGTTTATAACTAACTATTAATCGTATCAAATTTTCCCTTTTCTTTTCTTGTTAGAGAAAAGAAAAGAAAACTGGATTGAAGATAAAATAATTCGAAATTTTCAGGTTAAAGATAAATTGAAACAAAGAATAATTATAAATGTTATAATTTAAAATAATGCTTACATTTAAATTCATATTATATCAATTTACAGAAAAAAAAATTATATATTTTTTTTAGAATTTCCATTTATTAGGATAATTTAATTTTATGCATCTGTCAATTTTGATAGTTTTATCAAGAAGTGAAAGAGAGAGAGAGAGAAAGAGAGAGAGAAAAAAGATGAAAGATATTCAAATCTATAAATTTTACCTCATTTGCAATAAATATTCTATACCGCGGGATTTTCAATATCGACATGCAAATGCTAATCAATCATTTCTCATAACAGATTAGAGTATTGTTGTTATATTTGTTCCACAGGTCGTGATTATTATAATTTAAAATGCGAATTAATTGCTACTTGCTATTATTGCAGAAAAGAGAGAGAGAGAGGGAAAGAGTGAAGAAAAATTTTCTAATTTGCTACTATTAATTGCAGCAAATTTCATCTTTTAAAATTTTTAAAATCATTAATGAAAAAGTAATTCAGGTTTAATTTGAATTTAAAACAAAAAAGTCGAATATATTTCCCTCATTTAATCCGAAATTTCAACGAAAAGAAAAATGCTGTAAAACTGAATAAGTTATAAATTGAGCAGGTTGAAATTGAGAAATTAAAAGAAAAGAAGAAATTTGTCCTTGATAGAAGTTTACATGCCAGTGCCACAATTACTAACTATCATCAACTAAAGGAAATGATTAAATACAATTTAAGCAAAAAACTTTTCTATTGAAAATATATCTCATTAAAAATTGTCCTTCAGCAAATGAAATTGATTGTTGTTAGAAAGAGAAAAATGAAATTTCTGAAATTCATTCCTTTACATTATAATAATATATGAAAACATTCGAAGAGGAGTAAATTTCAGGAAATTTCATTTGATATTGTGAAAATTATTTCGTTATCCTTTTGTTGATAGCTTATTAGAAGCCTTTTAAAAGTTTTTATTTATTTATTTATTTATTTGTTTATTTGTTTATTTATTTTGAGGAGATAGGATTTGGCGTAACGATAAAAAGGAAAGTTTTCATAGCATATATAAACGAAATTTTCTTTTCTTCATTTAAAAAATTAGTTATTTGAAAAAGATAACTGTAATTGAATATTGTATTTTTAGCACATTGATATATTATATGGATATGTATACACGAGAATATCTGTGCCTGTTGAAATTTATATTTAAATTAAACAAATTACGAATATATTCAAATAGGTATTTTAATTTTTGATTTTAATCAACCGGGAGTACTGTAAGAAAATGGTAATTTAAAAAAATTTTTGGTAATGGTTGAATTTTTATTTTTGTATAAAAAAGTGAAATTTTGCAGTATAACTTATATTACTAAAACATATTAAAATGTTTTCATAAATAAAATTTTGCAATAAAAAGCGAAAAATAAAACATAGTTTCGAATAATACGAAATTAATAATAATTAATAAATAAATATTAATTAATTGAAATGAAAGAAAAAAAAAACGAATAGAAAAATTTCTTTTCGTTTAAAATTTATTTTATACAACAAATATGTTGAAAAGTAGGAAGCCTTTTTTTAACAGAACAATTTTTTGAAAAAATGGTATTAATGATAGAATGAAATAAAAAATTGAAATGATTGAAAGATAAGTTTAATATTAGAAATGATTGTTGAAGCATTGTAGAAGGAAATATTTTATGATTACAGAATCCTTATGATTAATAATTATGTAAACATACAATCGACCCGCAATCTTTATCACTTCAATAAAGCAGTAAAAATCTTTGAAATCTATAGTCATTTGGAAAATACATTTTTGCTTGCAACATGACTAAATTCCATACAATAAAATGCATATGTATATATCATTATTGAATGATGGACGTTTGTTCAACAAAATATATTAACGATAGATTTAAATTTCAATTTCATTCTCATACAAAACTATATATATAACATATATTTATATTATACTTACCTTAATAATATTATTTGATAAGCAATTCATAAATTAATGAATAAGCATAAAAAAAAAAAAATTCTAACTTGAAAAGATAATTTTATCAAACATATAGGAATAAGAGATATCGAATTTATCAAACACATAGGAATAAGATAATAAGATAATAAAATATATAGGAATAAGATATGAAGAATTATCATTATGATAGTATGAAAAAAAGGCTTATGAAAAAAGACGAAAAAAAGGCCTAAATAATTTTTTGCCTGAAAAAATTTAATAACTGCAATGATATACATATAACGAGAGAGAAAGGGAGAGAGAGAGAGAGGGGAAGAGAAATGAAGAAACGGAATGGATTATTAGGATGAAATAAATGATAAAAATGATTGAAAAAGTGATATAGAATTTAACGAGCTATATTTAACCCTCTAAAAATATGCAAAAAAAATGATGAATCAGGACGATCTTCTTAAATATATGGGAAAGTTAATGATCAAATTGGACAGTCCTTTTGCGCTTATAACCATTTTCTCTGTTATATACAATATGAACATAACCGTATGGACAATATGACAATTTCCTTCTTTCTTTCCTGATCTGTCCTCTTTCTGTCATTTTAGTCATCACTGTTATTGTTACCATTAGTGATGAATGTTACCATTTAAATGAAATGAGACAGACTATACTACCTTTTCTCTCTCTCTCTCTCTTTCTCTTTCTCAGGTAGAATTAAATCAAAGTATTGCAATGACTTTGATTAAGGACAACCATGCAACATATTTAATGTAAACAAATTTTAGAAACATTTTACCCTTCATAAATCTTTCACAAACTAATATAGCTTTCATCTCTCTCTCTCTCTCTCTCTCTCTCTTTCACTTCTTTTTCCGTAATAATACCAAAATCTTTTAAGTATCCGGAAATAATTTTCCGGAAATAATTTCATTTAATTGAATTACCTCCATCTGATCTAATTTCATTCAATTGAATCTTTTTTTTTTGTTGTAAAAATACAACTTTAATTATCGATCCGTCTAATATTATTTCGTCTTTCACAATTTCTAATTTTCATTTTTCCGTTCTTAAGGGCAATTTAAATTTTAACCTCATGGATGAAAGAACTATTTTAGACAAGAAAAAGATAATAGCATGAAATTTTAAATTACCATTTTCTTTTCTCTTCCTCTTTTCTACCTCTCTTTTCCTTTCTTTTTCATGTCTGTCAAAAATGCATAAGCAGCATGAAATTTTCAATCATTTTAATAATATCGTTAAATTTTAAAACCGTTTTTTTTTGCGGCATCTCTTTGTGTGATAGACATTTCTATACCTTCTTCATATATCATGCCCCAAAAAAATATTAGAAGATTTTCTAATTTCAATTATTACAAATAAAACAGAAAGAAATTCTACGACGAACTGTTTTTTGTTGTATCATCGAATGCGTAATCACAAAATCCCGTATACAAATATATTCGAAAAGCCTAGCAGAATTTAATTTAAAATGTAAAAAGTAGTTTGCTACTTTTAATTTTAATACTAGCATCACTTATACAGCTTAATTGATTAGTTAATTGCTGACAGTTTTATTTTATTACGCAAAAATAAATGTTGCTTATATTCCAATAAAATAGATCTAATTGGTATTTATATAAATTTATGGATTTTTAAATCGAAAATTATTGAAGGATCAATTCAAGTTTTAATGTTGTAGTATTCAAAGCAAATTTAAATTGTTGAAACATTTGAAAATATGAGCAAGCATAAGTCAAATGGAATAATTGAAGGAAATAAAAACATATAAACAAGCAAAGCAAACAAATTCGAAATTCTGACGTACGTCAAAGTAATCTCTTATCACAATAGCGTTATCACTCATTTTCTGTCATAATTTATCATTGAAAATTAGATAATTTAACTATGTAATACAAATATTTTCATGTAACAACATTGGAATACTTTCAAATTCACGTATGAAAAGATTCGATGGAATATCGCGAATCAAAATCAATCTACCTGATGGATTTTACAAATTCAAAGAAAAGAAGAGACAATTTAAATTTATTGTAAAAGCATGATTTAAAGAGGGAAAAAAGTGATTTAGTTGAAGCCAAATTTTAAATGTTATAAAGTTTTCGTTGTAAAACAAATACGTTCCATCCGTTGCATTTTATTTACTGTTTGGAATATTTTTCTTTTTTTGTTTACTTTTTCCTAAACATTTTACGATCAGAGATTTTTTTCTTCATGATATTACAGCTATTATAGCTGCAATTCATAATGCACTTTAACCACGTAAATCAACAAATCTTTTAAATATCTTCGAAATAAAATTCAAAATAATTTCAATTAATTAAACATGAATAACCGTTTGCTTTCATATTAGCTATTTATGTGTTTGTCAGAAATATATTACTTCTTTTGTTTTCGTTTTTGTTTTTTAAACTATTGTAGCATAAGATCATATGATATTACTATCACTTCGATAAAATAAAGAATGAAATTTGATACTTTTTTTTTCTCGGAGAATAATATTCCAGTTATTGGCAGACTGCTTATCAGTTTAACAATAACTTCAACAATTATACAATTTTCTTAATTACTATCAAATTTCATAAAACACAAGAAATATTCAGTTTTATTCACAAATCATTATAGTATATTAAGTTATTCACATTTTACCACCAAGTGAAAAAAGCTGATCGTGTCTGAACTTTTTGCTGATATGCTTCTGGCCATGTTTTTGGTTTAACATTTTGCCATTGAGTTTGTGACAATGATATACTAGATGATGATGGATGATCGGTAAGACTTTCGTCACCTAAAATGTGATAAATATACTACTAATCACGGGATTAACTTGATAGAATTAACTTTTCATGTCCTTCTTAACCTGCTACTTTCTTATTCGTATTTATGTCTGCAAAAGTCTATAAAACTTACAAAATGTTCAAAGAATAACAAAGAATAAGAAACAAAGAAAAAGCTCAACTGCCTTTATGTGCAACCTGTTTTGAAAAAGAATTTCAGAATCTCATTAATTCAAATTCTAAAAAATCATTATCAATTTCCTTTTCATTTACAATCATTACTCAAAAAAAGCCTATCCAAGTGTTTTTCAACCTATCTATATGATTTTCTTCAAGTACTTTATCAAAATTTTCGACACTATCACAAATTAAAATTAATATCACCATCAGAATAACTATCATTTATTTTCTACAAATACCAAAATTAAAAATTAACTATAATATTATTCTAATATTAAAAATTAACTATAATATTCATTTTTATATTTTTCTCACAAACCAATTGTTGTCTCATAATGTTGGAGCAATGAAATTAAAATTAACTACTTCCTTTAAGATATAGTAATTTCTGAGAATCATACTGTTACTAACAGTCTGCGTACTAATAAATGTAATCCAAAATTTCCAGAAATTAAGCAGTAGTTAATCCAGAACCTCCATCAGTAGTACTCATTGATCGCCTGTTATGTGATATCGTACGCAACTGTCGCTTCCTTTTTGATTTCACTTCTACTATCAGTTGTGGCTGCATCTATAAAATTTGCAAATATTCACGAATATAGACATTGATAAATAGATAAGAAAAAAGTTTTCTTATAAAATCTTCAAAACATTTTGCCACAAATAATCAAAATTAAATTCTGAAAAAATGATCACACCTGAACAAGTTGTTGAGGTGATTTTCGAAGACGTAAAGCTTCACGAAGATTAAAAACTTGTCCTCTTAAAACACTAAGCTGCAATTCGAACATTTTCTTGTCGAAACCTGGATCTTTCTAAAAATGTTTCTGTGCAAGTTTAAGTCAGAAATCGATCATGCATATAGTTTTGTTAATAAACTCTTATCCGTAAAATGGTTAATCTACTGAAAATATCCTAATTCCTGTCACAATCAGAGGAATAAATAAAAAAAGATTTGCCTGAAATAATTTTTTCAGGTCATTGCAAAGTTCAAACATGAAATTTATATCATCCAGTTGAGGAAGAACCAAATCAACAATTTCTTCACTGAACGGATTTTTTGCCATTGGTAACCAAGCCCAGCGATATGGATCTGTAAAAAGTAATTTATTGAAAAAATAGTAAAATTAAATCAATAGTTATCAGAGTTGTTCAGTAATATAACATTGTGATACTATGTTAACAAAACAAAATGTAAACTTATTTTTAGCAAAATTTAAATGACGTGAAAACAATCTGAAAAATTTTAGAAGCCAAAATAATAAACGTTGAATTTGAGGAATGAAATCACCCTTTTTCATAGACCCGATAATGAATGAAGTTCATTGTTTAACGAAAAAAAAAATAAAACAAAAAGTGAAGGTAGGTTACAAACAATTGAAACAGTCAACCTTCAAACTTAAACTGCAATTCAAAAATCTGAAGAATTAATAAATACCATTTTTGATTAAAATTCATGCCTGCCGAGCTAATTATATATTTTACCTATAAGGTATAACACTTAGTATTATAAACTACTTTCAGCAAATTAAGATGATATTGATAACGATAATCAGATAAAATTTACATGTGCGCCATTCATCGGGATGTTTGATCGGAAAAGCTAATCCATTATCAATTGCAGCTACTTCTATTTTCGGCTCATCCATTTGATCCCAATTTTCAACATCTGCATCACAGTCTAACAAATCCATAACAATTCGATTTTCCACATCATTTTCATTTGCTGAAAAGAAATATTTCTTCTTTTTAATTTCTTAAATCAGAATTTTTGAACTCAATTAATATATACGCAAAGTTTTATTAAAATTCGTTATATATTAGAACAATCATCTTTCATGATATGAAGAGTAAAAATTTCGCTTTCATACAGAACATTCATTTTACCGTAGTACTTTCATATCATTATTTGAAAACTAACAATTTAAAAAGTTTGAAAACAAAAATACGGTATTAAATGAAGTGAAAATTTGTCAGTAAGGAATGGTTTAAATGAAATTCACCAATGCCATGATCGATATCATTATGTACAACTTTTTCAGCATTTTCATTAGCAGCTGTTTCATCAACCGATATCTGAAATAGGTAGCAATAATATTTGAAGAAGCAAAAATAATAAAAATTCTAATTCACAAAAATTTTCTAAATTAGAGCTAAGTTTTGACAACATTTCATAATTTACAATTAAACCCTATTTTAGAAGGATAAGGTTGAATGGTTTTCATTCTTTTACTCTAATTGATATACTCTATCCCCGCCCACAAAATTTAAACTTTGACATTATACTACAAATGCAGAAGTAGCGAAAGCATAGTAATCTTAAGGTAGTAATACTTTAAGATAATTGACTATTTTGGTAGCAAATTGATGATTATCAATAAGAGTTTAAAAGCCTGGAATAGAATGATCCAAAAGGTGACAGTATGAATTACCTTTGAAAAATAATTTATTTTTGTATTACTTAACAAATCTTCCTAGTTTACAAAAAATATTCTTTCATTTGTAATCCACTAATTAAAAGAAAAGAACAGAAAAGTAAAATCACCGTATCTTTTCTTGGTGTAGGATCTTGTGGAACAACAATGACAGCAGTTGCTGGTTCGTATTTAATTAACCAGTTATCATTGCCACGATCTGAAAAAAATTAATACTTAAATTCTAGGAAAAAAAAAAGGATAATCAATTTTTGATAAATATAAAAAGATATGAAATATACTAATACCTGTATTTCGGATAATATAATCTAACACAACCATTCGTTCAAATAAGTGCTGAAATCGTTTCGTTGCACACGGCGATGATGATATCTCCCGATGTATTTCCCATTGTCGTAACCAATAGCTAGCATCTTGATAACCATGAACAAATAATTGAAAACTTCCAATCTGTAGTGAAATTATTATTGATTGTTATAAAATTAATTAAGTTTCATTTCTAAAATTTACTCTTTATTCCTTTTGCGTCTATAACCATCATTATCTTTATTGAATACAACATGAAGAACATAACCGTATGAACAATATGACAGTTTCCTTCCTTCTTTTCTGATCTGTCCCCTTTCTGTCATTTTAATCATCACTGTTACTGTGACCATAAGTGGTGAAATGTTACCACTTAAATGAAATAAAATAGACTACCTCTTCTCTCTCTCTCTCCCTCTCTCTTTCTGCCTCTCTTTCTCAGGTAGAATTAAATCAAAGTATTGCAATGACTTTGATTGAGGACAACCATGCAACATATTTAATGTAAACAAATTTTAGAAACATTTTATCCTTCACAAATCTTTCACAAACCAATATAGCTTTCATCTCTCTCTCTCTCTCTCTTTCCCTTCTTTTTCCGTAATAATACCAAAATCTTTTAAGTATCCGGAAATAATTTCGCTTAAATAACTGGAGAAAAAAACACCAAAACGTAATAAATTAATAAAGAAAGAAAACAAAAATTAAATAATTATATTCAATTTTTAAAAACAAAAACAAGTTAAAAAAACAAAACAACCTAAAAAAATAAACCTTCTCATTAATTAACCTTTTGACCATTTTTTTTTTTGTTAGTTTATATGCAAAAAAAAATTTTTTGTCATATTTAAAAATAGAACATTTATTCAAACTATATACCAACTGCTTTTCTTTTAAAATGACTAAATCCCTTGTGGATAATAAAAGTACATAAAATAAGCCAACAAAACTAGGGATAATTTCAAGCTTTATTTTCATCAATAAAATGATTGACTTAGTTTAGTTGGAGTGTCACCAACATGAATAGTGCCTGCCTGGTACAAAATATGCAATACATCAACACATCGTCTACTACACCCTTTCTATTTATTTGATGAAATAGAAAAACAAAAGTTTGTTAAGTTAAGATTGACAATTTTTTTTTGCTCTTCTTTCTGTCAATATATAAGATCAATTTCAAAATGTAATATGATATGGAATTTTAAAAATTATCCAAGATAAAAAGAAGAAAATATAATGGATGTGTTAGTTAGCAAAGAAAATATGATGATTGAAAAAAATAATAAGAAATTTGAGAATTTATTTTAAATTCTTAATTTTATGGCAAAAATCAGCTTTCATGATCCAATTTCTCAACTTTAATCGATAAAAATACCTTTGGTGGTAAACCAATTCGATGAAAACGTTTGCCAATTTCCGGATAACGTGTACGTATTCGTCGTTTGGTATGTGCTTTAGCACGATCAATACGTCCATAATTAAATGTTGGAGCAGCTAATGCAACAACATTTGTTTGAGGTACAATATTCAATTTTAATTTCTGATCAATAAGTGATGCACCAACTTCTGATAAATAACCCTGAAATAAATCAAAAAAATATTCATCTATTTTGAAGAAAAAGAAAAATGCACGATATTTTAAAATATTATTCATAAAATATTATATATTTCCAACATAGAATATTATTATACTAAAACTTAAGTTTAAAATTAGACAAACATAATTTACTATTTTATATCGTGCAAAAATATATTATTAGTTATATATATATATATATATTTGATATAATCTAAATGTGTCACTATTAAAATGATGTAATAAAACTGAAATAATAAAATATTTTAAAATGACTAAATTTTAAAATAAGTCATTTAAAATTTCTAACTTTATACTAAATGAAATGATTCATATCATTTATGAGCTAATTTTGAAACATATCTGAACATATGTGTTTCAAATTTTTATCCCTTAAATCTCAAATTCTTAAATATATTCAGTAGTAAATGTTATATTGAATGATAGTGTTGAATAATGAATTCAACAATTTAGTAAATAATTGATTGATAAAATTTGATGAGCAAAAATATATATACATATACTGGAAATGAAATGAAAAAAAAAGAGATGCTTGAAAAAGAAGAGATGTTGATAATGTTAAATTTTGATTGTATCATTTAATAAAACAATAAACATTTAAAATGCAATTAGCTAATTTAAATGATTAAATTAATTAGTGAAATTATTAACAAAACTAATATTGGATAGGGAACAAAAACTATACGTTATAGCGTTGAAAACAGTTGAAATCGCTGAATTTCCGACAATTTTTTTTCTTATTTTCTTCATTTTTTTTTCGCTTAATGAATTTCTAAAATATTTATGACTGAAGAAGATAAAATAAATTTTAAATTTTACACAATAATATTTGTAATTCCTGTCGTTTTTTCTCTTCACCTAATTTCAAACTTTTGTTTTAAAATTAATTTCATCGTTATTATTATCATCATTATTATTGTTGCTATTATTATTATTATCATTATTATTATTGTTATTATTATTATTATTATTATTACTATTATTATTATTATTATTATTCTCTTCTTTTCTTCCATTTCACATTCCCTCATATAGTTCATTTTCAAATGAAATTCATATTTTTATTTTTTGCATTTGAAAAGCAATAAATATATTTTTATTACATAAATCACTATACTATTACTACCATATATATATATATTTTTTTAATAGAAATATATCTTTCCGACTGATCAATGAATGATTTAAAATTGCCATTCAACCAAAAAATATA